TATGAAGACCAGGCTGGCCTTGAACTCAGAGATCCGCCTGCCTCTGCCTCCCAAGTGCTGGGATTAAAGGTGTGTGCCACCACGCCCGGCAATTTTATTTATTTTTATTTTATGTGTATGCATGTATTGTCTGCATGTAGGTAAGTGCACCAGTGTCATGCAATGCTCGTAGAGGACAGAAGAGGCTGTCGGATCCCTTGGGACTGGAGTTACGGACAGTTGTTAGCTGCCATGTGGGTGCTGGGATTTGAACCTGGGTCTTCTGCAAGAACAACCAGTGTTCTTAACTGCTGAGCCATCTCTCCAGCCCGTACAGAAAATTTTGATTGTGATTCTCTTTGGCAGATGGGATTATGGATGAGTTCTTTCTTGGGTTTTTTTTTTTTGTTTGTTGTTTTGTTTTGTTTTTGAAACAGGGACTTCCTACAGCCCTATAGCTTCAGACGGCCTGGAACTCACTATGTAGACCAGGCTGGCCTTGAACTCACAGAGATCTACCAGCCTCTGCCTCCCGAGTGCTAGGATTAAAGGTATGCACCACTATACCTGGCTGAATGAGTTCTTTTTTGAAATAAAAAAATGAAATCTTAGTGGGGCGTGGTGGCGCACGCCTTTAATCCCAGCACTTGGGAGGCAGGCAGATCTCTGTGAGTTCAAGGCTAGCCTGGTATACATAGCGAGTTCCAGGACAGCTGGGGCTATAAGGAGACCCTGCCTCAAAAAGACAAGGAAAAAAAATCTTTTCAAAATAGTGTGGGTGCTCTTAAAATTACTGAACTATACATTTAAAAGTGGTTGAAATATGAATTTGAAAACAAAACCAAAAACAAAGAGCAATATAATAGAAAGAAAATGATCTCATCTCACATAGAATTCTCCTTCAGCTACAGAGAGAACCTCATGCTGAGTCCATTCTCCTTGGGGAACATTAGCCCAAACTCTTAAGCAAGGTGTGGAGGGATGGTCCAGTTTCTAGGGAGAAAAAGGAATGATCCAGGGGAAAGAAAAGAAATTTAAGAGAACACGGAATACCTTAAAACCCTAGTGCTTGGCACAAGTCTCCCTCTTTTTTTTTTAATTTTTACAAAAACTTTATTGAGAATTTCACACATGCATATAAGGTGTTTTGATCAAATCCATGCCCACTCCCTCCCCTCCAACATTCCCCCCTCTGAAGAGGTAATCCTAAAATCTTTTAAGGATTAGATACAAGCTCCCAAATACTTTTGACATTTTTGGCCTTTGGAACAGAGTATGTTGGTAACAGGCCCAAGGACATTTTGACTTTTAGTCCAGAAATTGGCTACATTTCTTTGGGGTCTTTTTACCCTAACTGCCTAGCCAATTCCTACTTCCTATTCTTATCATGACATCCTCTGAAGGGGCTACCCAAATTGCCAATAGGGAATCGGGACACAGTCTGCTCTGGCTTCCATGCTGAACAGGGATGCAGGGTGAGGCAATTGGAGTACCCCTTCAGTGGGTCTATCTGAAAGACTCCCAAATTGCATAACTTGTCTCTAAGGGAAGAAGAGAGCCCTTGAATCACGAATAGGAGATGTGAAGGAGAAGTAAAGGCAAGAGTAATTAGCATTACAAGTTCCAGACAGGGGCTGGGCGTGGTTGCGCACACCTTTAATCCCAGCACTTGGGAGGTAGAGGTAGGTGGATCTTTGTGAGTTCGAGGCCAGCCTGGTCTACATAGTGAGTTCCAGGACAGCTGGGGCTACAAGGAGACCCCGTCTCAAAAAGAAAAAAAAAAAGCAAGTTCAAGACAGGGAACTAGAAAAAGTCAGAACAGGGCAATTTTCAAATGTTCATATGAGTCCATTGGAGTTTCTTGACAAGGGCTTCAAAAAGCATCCCTCTATTGGGGTCTTCCTTGTTTTTCTTTTGTCTTCCAAAGCTGGACTAGTTGGCTGGGAAGAGTGGCTGGATACTTGGGTGAGGGTCCAGTGACCCTGCTTGGCTCCTTTAATGAATGAGCACAACCGTCAACAAGCCCAATTGTGACTATGTTTAGCAATCAGGCTGAGCCGAAGTCGTGATGATGGTAGTTATTTCATGCAGAAAGGACTGCTATATAGCATCATTTTATTGAAAGGACCTGGAATTTAAAAGGATTTGGTGCTAGGATCCACATATGAGCGAGAACATACGTCGTTTGTTTTTCTGAGTCTGTGTTACTTCATAGATCCATCCATTTACCTGAAAATTTCATGATTTCATCTTTCTTTACTGCTGAATAGAACTCCATTATGTAAATATACCACATTTTTGTTAACCACCTGTCAGTTGAGGAGCACTTAGGTTGTTTGATACTCTTAGCTAATGTGAAAAGAGCTGCAACAAATATGGTTGTACAAGTGTCTCTACAATAGGATGAGTCCTTTTGGTATATGCCAAGGAGTGATATAACCGGGTCATATGGTAGGTTCATTTTTAATTTTTTAAGAGTTCTCCACACTGTTTTTCATAGAGGCTACATGAGTTTGCAGTCCCACCAGCAGTGAATGAGTGTTCCCCTTTCTCCACGTCCTCACCAGCATTTGGTATCATTTGTTCTCTTGATCCTAGCCAGTCTGACTGGGGTAAGATGATACCTTAGGGTGGTTTTAATGTGCATTTCCCTAATTACTAACGGTGTTGAACACTTTTTGAGATGTTTCTTAGCCATCTTTATTTCTTCCTTTGAGAACTCTGTTTAGATCTTTAGCCCATCTTTTAATTGGATCATTTGGTTTCTTGATTCTTTGTTTTTTGAGTTCTTTATATATTTTGGATGTTAAACCTCTGTCAGCACAAGTCTCTTAAGAGAAGAAGTTAGCTGCCAGCGGGATGAAGTGCAGGCTAGTTTCAGTTACATTAAAAAAGGAGAGAGTAGACTAAACTCTTCTATCTCTCTGCAGACAGCTGTGGCCTATAATTGGAAAACTGGAAATGTGGTGAAAAGGTTCAAAGGGCATGAGCGGGAAATCACTAAGGTAATTATCAGATGATTATTCTGAAAGGAATTTGGAATTTGGAAATGAATAAAGAAATAGCTAATAGCTGTAGATATGTTCAACCTCAACAAAAAATGAAAAGGCTTCATCTGATGCCAGGAGGAGCAAGCAAAGCACTTCAAACTTGGAAGAAACCAAATACCTGCCAAGGTATGGGTAAGAATGTGACAGTGCAAATGCAGTATTATATTATCCAGCGTTATAAAGGCATGTAATTCTGGGAGTGGGGCTGTGTCTCCGTGGCAAAGCACCTGCCTAGCCTGGTGAAACCTTGGTTTGGATCCTCAGTACTGTGGTGAAAAAAATAAAATTCTGATACTTGTTACAACATAAATGAATGTTAGAAACATGTTTAGTGAAAGAAGCTAGACAGAAAAGAACAGCCATGTGATTCCATTTATATGAGCTCCCTGTAATAGATTCACAGAGGCAATAGAGGAGTGGCCTGTAGGGGCTGTAGAGAGGGAAGAATGTACAGAGTTTCAGTTTGGGTGAGGGAGAGTGTTGAAGATTGCTCAACAATGTGAATATACTTGATGCTACTGAATTGTATACTTAAAAATAGTTAAAGTGAAGCCGGACGTGGTGGGACACGCCTTTAATCCCAGCACTCAGGAGGCAGAGGCAGGCGGATCTTTGTGAGTTTGAGGCCAGCCTGGTCTACATAGTGAGTTCCAGGATAGCTGGGGCTACAAGGAGACCTTGTCTTAAAAAGACAAAAAAAATAAATAAATAAAGTGGTCATTTTTATGACAGTATGTGCACGGCATATGTACATGCGCATGCACACAAACATAGGTCAAAGAAGAAATCAAAGAGGAGATAAATCTAGAAATAGTAGATTATAATAGCAAACACCCACACTTGAAAGGATGGTTAGCAATTCTAGGCCAATCTGGGCTACATGACACTCTGTCTCAAAAAGCAAAACAAAGGGACTGGAGAGATGATTCCACAGTTAAGAGGGCATACTGCTCTTACAGAGGACAGGAGTTCGGTTAAGCACTCATATTGGAAAGCTCATAACCATCTATAACTCCAATTCCAGGAGATCTGGCACTGCCTTTTGGCCTCCACAGGCACCTACACTCACATAGGCTCATGCAAGACACACTCATAAAAATAAATATTTGAGGCTGGAGTGATGGCTCAGCAGTTAAGAGCACTGGCTGCTCTTGCAGAGGACCTGAATTTGGTTCCCAACACCCATATGATGGCTAACAACTGTCTATAACTCCAGTTCCAGGGGATCCAATACCCTCTTCTGGCCTGTGTGGGCATTGCATGCATGTGGTACACTTACATGAAGACAAAACACACACATAAAAATAAATAAAAAATAATTAAAAATAAGTATTTTTGCTGGGCATGGTGGCAAATTCCTTTAATCTCAGCACTTGGGAGGCAGAGGCAGGTGGATCTCTATGAGATCAAGGCCAGCCTGGTCTACATAATGAGTTCCAGACCACTGGGAGCTACAGGGCGACCCTGCCTCAAAAAGACCAAATTTTTTTTTTTCTTAAGGGCCAGCCACGTATGGTGGCTCATGCCTTTAATCCCAGCACTCTGGAGGTGGATCCCTGTGTGATGGAGGCCAACCTAGTCTGCATAGTGAGTTCTAGGCCAGCTGGAGCTACAAGGAGACTCTGCTTCAAAAAGACAAAAAGAAAACAAAAATTAAAGCTAAACAAAGTGTGTATGTGGAGTGCTATGTCCTACATAACTGGGTAGTGGCGGACAAAAAGTGGGATGGCACAGTATCAGAATAAAATATTACATGGGGCTGGAGAGATGGCTCAGTGGTTAAGAGCACCGACTGCTCTTGCAGAGGACCCAGGTTTGGTTCCCAGCACCCACCTGGTGGCTAACAACTGTCTGAAACTCTAGTTCCAGGGGATCTGACGCCCTCTTCTGACCTCTGTGGGCATTGCATGACATGAGTGTACTTACATACATGCAGGTAATACACTTATACACATAAAAAATAAAAATAATAAGCTGGGTGTGGTGGCACACACCTTTAATCCCAGCACTTGGGAGGCTGAGGCAGGTGGATCTTTGTGAGTTCGAGGCCAGCCTGGTC